CGATCGGCAGAGGCAAGCAATTAACGTAGCTAATTAATCACGAGGCAGCCGAATCGAGCAGTAAGTCAATTACCGTCATCGAATCGAGTTCAAAATATCTTGCCATTTGTTGTCAGAAATGTTTCACAGAAATAATCACAGACACGCTGTCAGCGAGTAACGTGCTCCTTCGAGCTCATCTCGAAGACTACTCGAAGACAGCTTCCGCGAGCGCGAACCTGACGAAGCCTCGAGAGGATCAAAGACGAGTTTCTCGAAGAGTTGCGTTTCGATGCGAAGAGGAAGATACGACTGAAGGTGCCCACCGTGCTCAAGGCGCATTCACCTTGGGTTTCACGCACCTGTGTGCACGCGTGAGCGAATCTACCCGCTCTCTTTCTCTTACGTCCTCCCGCGAACTTTACCAACCTTCTTCGAGGGCTTCCACGACCTTGCATTTACAAATGATCCTTTGACACGCGTCGTACCTGTAATTGACCTCTGCTTACGTTCCAGAGATACGTTACGGACCTCGTTAGCTGCATATCTTCTTTCATTTACATATCTATATATTTTTTACAATATAAAGTCATTAAATTTACCATGTAAATGTTTGTATCTTAGTACTTCTGAAATGTGAAATTGGGGCTTGACAAAATTATTCTGTTGACTTCCATGTTGGAAGAATCTTCACATTTGTGAATTTAGACATTCAGAGGTTTTTGAGTTACAAATGTCTATATGTATATAAATGTCTGTTCACGAAATACTCCTTTTTACCATAAACCTTCCTATAACATCAAGCAGTAATTTTGATTAATTTTTTGATGAGCTTTGAATTTTGAATAAACTCATTCGCTTCGTAATGAAATTCTCATGTACATAAATGTCTGTTCACAAAATACTCTCTTTTACCATAAACCTTCCTATGACATCAATTTTGATTAATTTTTTGATGAATATTGAATTTTGAATAAACTCATTCGCTTCGTAATGAAATTCTCGTGTATATAAATGTCTGTTCACGAAATACTTCGATCTTTGATATATTTTATGATGAATTTTGAATTTTGAATAAACTCATTCGCTTCGTAATGAAATTCTCAGTGAGTAAGCGTATTAACGCGGAAAAGAGCGCTTTCAATTTTAGATTGGAGTAAGATGTATTAATAAATAGTTGATGTTCCAATAGCAGCGTTCACGTGATCGTATTAATCACCGGGCATTTCTTTCATCGAAATTATACACGCACCGGATAAAAGGCCAATTAAGCTCATCGGAAGGTGTCTAGACTGGCGTACGCAAGCTTAAATACTTCCGAGAGTAATTAAAACGCCGTTAATCTCGGTAATGAGAGCGCCGTTGGTTGACGGAGCTTTAACGCGATTACAATGTACCGTGCACAGTCACACTCTGAATACCATAAAACGCAGAATTTAAATACACGCGGATGATCCTGCTGATAGTTGCAGGCAAGAATTCTTCTGAAATTTATGGGGAACTTAATTGGAAAAAATTTTGATGAATATCTACGCGGGGAGATTAAAAGAAATGACGGTAAAATGGAATTTTTTCAATTTTGCAGAGAACTTGTACGATGTATTCTTGCATTATATTCAGAAGGATTCATTAGACTCGTGCGATGAAAAGAACATAAATTAATATATTCTAGATAAATGAAATAGTTAAATAAATCTTGTGTAATGTTTTAAAATACAGAAATGATAAAATCTTAAAAAATGCAGAAATCATTAAATCCTTGAAAATATCATTTTTCAAATTATATATAAAAACAGTACATGTTAAATGAATCTTGTGGATGTAATGTTTTAAAATACAGAAGTGATAGGATCTTAAAAAATGCAGCAATCATTAAATCCTTAAAAATATCATTCTTCAAATTATATATAAAAAACAGTAAATGTATGGGGTGATAAAATGATCAATTTTAATGGTTCACCACTTGAACAAATAAATGGACCCAGACTTCAGCGACTGTTAAAACTTGTCAGACTTGTATTCATAACATCGGAACTGGATAAATGAAAACTTCGAACGAATTTCTGTGCAACTGATTTGTTAACCAAATCCGTGAAGTTTCTTTACGAATGGCCAGGTTATTGATTCTCGATCGAAAGTTTCTTAACTGCGGCGAAAGTTCGTCTCAATAATAGGTTATCTTTTTATTGAGAATCTGGAATCTTGGAGACTAACAGAGACTTCTCAAAATATTAAAAATATTTAGTGATTAAAATATTTGGTGATTAATCTAGTTGAGGCTATAGCTCATATAGACCTTGAGTGTCGACAATATTTTAAAGAACCTGAACATTTATTGACAACATTGAAATATTGGCAATACAGTGAATCCTGAAATACTGACAATATTGATCGTCGAAATTCTTATTCAACTCCTGTCCAATTAATGTAACCGTGTCCAGTATGAACGAACGACTGATTTATAGCTTTCAACGAAACAAGGTGGATAAAATAACCTCGGGTAAAATTTTCCGAGCACGCTATCGACCGAAGCTCTCGGCAAATAGTTTGCGCTAGGAAGTTCATTAATTAGCGTCCATCGAAATGCACAAGAGATTCTCTAAAAATAGTTGAACCTCCGGTTCGCAGAGTGCAGAGTTCTCAAGTGTGATCGAATCAGACTCGGTCACGGAAAGTTATAATCCGAAAAACGTACGTTTGTTCACCTGTCTCGACGAGATAAAGTCATTTTTTCATTCGGTTAAAAAATGACGGATATGTTTAACCAAGATAGGTAATTATCTCGATACGTTCACCGTAACCTCGCCGTAAATTCGTTATTTTAGGTCTCGATATTTCGTACCAACAAAATATTTCGGATATTCTTGTAGTCGAGTTTTAATAACGTTCGATGACTGTGTTCGATTTCACTGAAACCGATGAAAGTTTCGGTAAACCTTCGACATCCTTCGAGTAAAAGCCACAACACGTACGGCACGGATGCAATGCATACGATTCGGTAAAAATAACGGGACAAGATGATCTTCTACTGAAACTGGTTTTCTGGAATACCGATGACTTCAATCGAGGGGTCCAGTGCGAAGCAATCGTGATTGTCGCACGAACAATCGACCGGACAATGTTTTCAATCAATCCTTTGATCAACGACCTCTATTATATTTTATGTCTGAAGAGTCTTTTATAGAGCAGTCAAGACGCACCGTATGCGTCCTATAGTATGTACCCAATAACATACTGCATACATTTTATAGTATATACCTAATGACGCACCGTGTGCGTCTTGGAATGTACCCCTAATGATTTATGAGTTCTACAGTATACACCTGATGACGCACCATGTGCGTCTTGTAATCTGCTCCAAATAACGCATGAGTTCTACAGTATGCATCTAATGACGCACCGTATGTGTCCTATTGTATGTACCTAATAACCGACCGTATACGTTCTATAGTATACCCCTAATGACGCACCATGTGCGTCCTGTAATACACCCCTAATAACGTATGAGTCCTACAGTACGCATCCAATGACGCACCACGTGCGTCCTATCGAGTAACTGACACTATGCAAGATATATATAAAAAATGAATTAGTAGAAGAAACGTATGTATAGATAAACATTGATTTGAAGTTCTGAAATGATAAATGTACTAAAACAACGACTTAAATGAGTCATCAGTCAAAGTATAAAATAATCCGACATGAAATGTTATTTTATTACGTTCATCGCGACAAGGCAATAACACTTATTCCAAGAAAACGGAAACTGGTAAGAAGCAAAGTCATTCATCGAGCCGACGAGGCGTGTGTTATCGCGTAATGGTATTCGTCGATTCACACCCGTGATGGGACGAACGCGTGCTCGAACGCGTGAGATGCGTGAAATGCATTAGACCGCGTGGTACGCACGTGTCTAAAACCAGTTTCACGTAAATCTAAACGGCTCCCGCGAAGAGTGAATTTTTAGTATCGGTAGAAATCGAAGATGTTTCACGATTGTATGTCCACACGATTTGAACGCGGATCAATCGTGTAATAATAAACGCGCGTGCATGGTTACGACTAATCGTTTTGTTTTCGAGCCATTGTACTCGCGTCGATAGTCCAATCCCACGGAACAATTATTTGTCGCAACAGTTACGATTGCGACATTGACTTTCATTGTATGATTCACCGGGAACAATGGTTAATATTAGTTACAAGTCTGACATCGGTGAAATGACAAATATTTTTTTTATGTAACTAACGATCATTAAAAATGTGATGCCTTGGTTGTACTGTTCTGTACAAATAAGATGGAAGACTGTGAAATTCTATAGATAGTATCGACTACCGAATTCAAGGACTACTTAGCCTCGGAAGCGTCCGTAACTTGACAGCACTTCGAGTTAAGTGAGCAAAGTGAGGTTAAGTATCGACACAGCAGACGACAACTCGCGAACGAAATTTCGTGTCGTGACAATGTAATTTTGACGAAATATTTGGCGAACGAGTCGAAGGGATGACTACGCGTTAATGATCACTGAACACAGATGAAATGTTCATTGTTTTTTTCTTACAGAACATTTTATAAAAGAATCGATCGGCGGATACGGATTATCGTAAATAGTGACTGGAAGATTCTTATTTGAAGGAAGTAAACGTGCAATTTTGTTCAATTAAGCTAACGGTCGACTTGTAATTGGCTTCAATTCGTGGTAAAAATAAACAGAGCGAGTTGACAGCAATGCTGGCAGGGTGGCACGAACGTGCGTAGGAGATCATCTCCGACCGAGCGGTTGCTCCGCTCGATTCTCATTAGAAAAATGCATATTTCCCGCCAATGGTTGATCGACGAACGAGCATAAACAACTCGAGTGACTCGAGAATTATATAACTATTGTTGCACGACTCGTAAATAAAGGCTACTTACCGCTGATCAGGCGAAAAACGTCAGGATCGCGCGCACACACACACGTTACACCTCGCACCGCTTGAGACAAACTGCCGTATCGGGGCGCTGTTGTACGCCGCCATCTTGGATCGATTGGTCGCCAGTCGAAAAGTGCGCTGAGTTTGATTCTCGTTCGAATGCGATCGTACGCCATGTTTGAAAGGGACGAAAAGGTAGGTTAATAAAAATTCTTGTCTTTTTTGCTTGCTCTGTTTTGAAATTATTAGTTTCATTTAATCTGCACTAGATTGAAACACAAATAATAACAATCGACGTTTAACACGCGGTTATCGTTTACACGTTCCATCTTGTATACGAATATACACAGTGACTCTATCGTTTCGCAACACAGCGCACGTAGTACAAAACATTACATTGATATAATCATAAATAAATTACGCGACACGTATGAGATATTTACCCATACTGTTCCTTTGGAAAAGTACAGAAAACAAAGAAAAGTGTTTAACACGAGAAATGCACAAATTCATGACTATCTTGAATGATAAATGCAAACGTTGATTCGTTCCGTACGTTACAGAACGCGCAACTTTCCATTCAAACATTATCTTTTTTTTTTCTTTTTTTTTCTTTTATATATGTATATATCGATACATTCATTTTAACATCACTTATATTTTATATGCCTATCTTATGAATTGTACAAGATAATCATATAAAATATAAAACTGAATTGGAACAATCAGTTCTTTCATCCTTCTTGTAAAATTTCTTTTTAGTTATATACGTGGTATTAGAATAAAGATATCGATATATTCTTCACAGCTGATTCACATTTTTTTAAATAATATACTTCTTTCACATACATAATTTACCTACGTACATAATTTACTAGGATCATTGTCGATAATTATTAAATATTTCTTAAGTATCGTAGAGAATTATATTATATTATCTTAAACGCTTATACTTAGAATATTCTACGAAAATGAATTCACTACATTTTTGTATGACTTTATGCATGTGTAAGCTCTCTCATTTGTCGCACTGCATGGAAGTTTAATACGCCCAATCTCCATTATGCGTTTTAAGTAATTTCTATAATTACTAATAAAAACGACTTATGTAATACTTAACAAGTATTATAGTTTCACGCATCGTCAGATTCTCACTTATGATTGTAGCTACACAGTTCTCCTTCTAATTTGATTCCTCGTGCATCATTATGTCGCATCAATTCCACGTCTGCCGTCATCGAAATCCTCGAACAAACTATCTTTTCCCTACCGTATTAATGACGCACCATCATAAGAATGTTTATATCGAACTGTATATCCGCTTAATTGAATTAGTATAGTTGCATTGATAAGAGCCAACAAAGATTGCCTGTTAAAATTGTGAAATAATCGCGTCTCGTGTCAAGTTGATATATCAAAAGTTTGTCTTAGAACGTGTGCACATTACGGCAAATACCGCAACCCAACGCAAACTCTTCTCCAGTTGGTGGATGTTTAACGTGCAAAGGACATTCGTCTCCCTCTAGTTGTTTCGCTTTAGGTCCTAGTGAAAGAACAAATTATAATTAGTCATACTCCTATACCTCTAAGTACCGTATATTATATGTTTATAAACATACCTGCAGGACACGAAGGTAGCTCGCTCTTTGGAATGGCAGTGACCCGTTGGAAGTCGTCATGGCAAGGGTTACAGAAATGGGTTGTTCCAAAGCAAAAGAAGACAGCCACCGAGCAACAATACCGGCACTTGTACTCTAGATAATCTGCCCCATGTTTAGGGCACATATGAGCTCTCGCCACATCGCTGCAACCTCCGCATACTAATTCCGCAGGGTCGAATCTTTCTCCGCCAACTTGTGCATCGCATCGTGCTTCACCACCGTAATAGGCCTTTTGACATTTATAGCAAACGTAATACGCGTACCGTTCCATCGCGTACGCGGCGGGATCTTGATAATATCGTCCACCTGGACCGAACACTGCTTCAGCCCTGTAAAACCATGTACGGTTAAAATATCATACTTCTTCATCGTTAGCTAAGCTACCTGTACTTACTTATTTAAACCTTCGTACTCCAATCTCATCAGTGCTTTTTTTTTAACATCGTCATACAGTTCTTTGATACCAGACAATTGTTCGGCCAAAGTAGCGTGTTCCATCGGTACTTTACAAATGGGACAAAGAGAGAAGCCGAATGTGATTCTCGGTCCCACCCAGCGTTTCATTAAAACGTGTTTACAGCAGTGTAGATGGAAAACGTGTCCACATTGTAGTTGAATCGCGGGAGCAGCCGATAGAGCTTCGGTGAAGCAGATCATGCACATGTCATCGGCATCTTGCTTTAAGTCAGTGCCTGGCAGACACCTGTGTAGACAGGGTAGACAGGTCTTCTCGTTTTGAACACCTCCACAGATATGTCCACACGGGTGAACCTTGGTGCATGCGTTCTTTGCATGTTCTTGACACTCATGATCGGCGCACACGTTGCCGATTGCCAGTAGACCCGTGTTTTCGGTGGTGCCGCAGAATCTACAGATACCGGATGTGGCACCGACAGGTTTTCTCGGTGCACCATCGCGAAATTCTACCAAAGCCTTCAGCGTTCTGCTATCGGCGAGAGCCAAAATCCAGAAGAGCTTCATGCGGCCGCAACCCTCGTGGAGATCCACCCGTATCGCTTCCTCCTCTTCTTTGCAAACTTGCCTTATGTGCATTCGAGTTCTTCTGTGCAGATGCAGAATTCTGTCACATTCTGCACACAAGTTTTCGCAAACGTTGCATTGGATGATCGCTGTTGTTTCGTTGTCGTCGTGATTACTACATGTTGGCTAGATGAGCAATGTGCATAATATTAGACATATGAAATGTAATGGATTTAATAAATTATTTTAATCCATCTTACTCTAGGAGGTGGTGGCTGTCCCTCCGAACCGGTCCACTGTACAGACGACAATCTTTCGACGTGATCGGAGTCCAAAACGCATAACGAAGAAAGAGCTAACCAGAAGGTTGGAGTTTTGAGGCATTCGGATGGATCACGATTCTTCTCATCTAATCTGGTAAGATTTAAAATGTTTTCTGCGATTGCTGCTTTGGTCACTGATGCCCAGGCTTCTGACAACTTTCCCTGTAAGAAATTTACCGGTGAATCATAGATCATTAAAATACCGAATTAATTGATACTCACTGCTGCCATGTCTTTCAAAAGTTGAATTATCACTTCCGCTAGCTTTCGAGTCATGCACCCCCTTAACCACCATCTTGAGCCGACGTAACTCTCTGGATGAATACTGCTAGCTAGCGAAACAGTCTGCAGTGCTTTTCCATTATTTTCTTTTCCCTTTATTTTTACTTGAACTGTTAATGCCTTTGCGATACAACTTAGGAAAACGTCGAGGATTCCTGCGGAATGTTCATCGAAGTCTGTGGTATCAGTGAAACCATTATTCGCTGCAGACACGATACTAAAATCTGTCGGTGGTAGACGTTTGATATTGATAACATTAGCTAACGTTTCTGGCTTGATTTCGGGCAAAATCCTTTTCAAAAGAGATATTACCTAAAGAATTAAAAAATAATATATTATTATTTACAATACAATATGAACATCAAAATATGAAGTACATACTTGACGTTGCACTCTGGCTGACCCCGTATGTAGCAGACTCAATAAGTCTTTCAACAAACCATACTGGTGCGACAGATAATATTGTCCTACAGAGCTACCACTCAGAGCCAACACCATAGACAACATTTCAAAGCAATAAGTATCAGCTGCCTTTGGTAAATCACTGTTATCGCTAAGCAAACTGTTAGCAGGCGTAGGTGAACATAAAAGCGCTTCCCATTCTTCTCTCATTCTAATAGTTTCTGCCTGAATAGCTTGAACAATATGTGTACAAACTTGTTTCTGCAAATGTGTCAAATTGTTTCTGCTAAATAGGATTCCAACCATATGTTCTCGCAGGTCATTGCTATCTTCTAAATCATCATTAGCACTTTCTGTATTTTCCGTTTGTTGTTGCTGCTGTTCGCGTTGTATGAGTTTACCAAATACCTAGTACATGAAAATTAATAATTAATTCATCAGTCGCATCATTGAACACCAACTCAATATGACGTGCAATTTACCTGAGAAGTTATTAAACGGAATACTTTCAACGTTTCAGCTTCGCAATTTCTTTGCTGGATCGTTTGCGCGCTCAACTGTTTTGCAACTTTTAAAGATTCCCCTTCAATCTCGCCTAGGATTCTTATTTGTCGAACGCGTAAAGAATTGTCTGGACCCTTTAAATCGAGTCTGACGATAACATGACGTGGATCTGTATAAAAAAGCGATATCAGTACTTGTACAACTATCTTTAGTTTAAAGTAACAGATAAAGTTACCAGTAACTGGGCAATGGATCCAGCCTGCAGATCGACTTTCAATTTCCACTGTCCTCAATTTGACCATTTCGTCTGTGTTGTTACCCGATTGAAACGTCACGCTGGATACTTTGTGCTACGATATCATTTTTATAAATACCACAAATTATCGTTGTACAATCGTTAAATCTCATACTCACCGTTAAATCACGGCAGTTGTCAATATGGATGTAGACTACTCGTGGAACGGAATGAGCACCGCAGACAATGGTAATGGTCTTCGTCTTATTACGATCTTCGTCACCAGATTCCCAGAATGTTTCCGTCGAATTGTCCGTCAAACTAACGATCATAGCTTGTCTACTGGAGGCCTTGATCTCTACTCCACACGTCAAGTCCTTCAGCACCTCCACGCAACTATTGATTTGTTGAGAATGCATCGATTGATGGCTTTCGTGCATGCTCAAAGTGGTGTCCTCTTCCTCTTCAGATCTTGACAGTATTTTGCTGATGTTACTAAACACGTGACTTCTATGTAAGAACATGTGATCTGCAGGAGTGAATTTGATACCCCAAATACGGATAGCGGCTTGTTGCAAGGGTGAACCTAAATTCGAATAGTGGATACAGTAACTTACAGGCAGATATGTATTTCCGCAGATGTTAATATTTCATACAGTATCGTTTATGTGACATACCGGGTGGTGGTAGAAGCATCAGATCCGCAATAGTTTGCAGCAAAGTGTGGAACACCGTTGGCAGTGGATTAACGGATTCGCCTATTATGACTAGATCGCTCAAGGGATGCTCGTATACACCGATCATATCCTTAAAGATCAATTCTACTGTTACTACACACTTGATTTATTGCCTGTTGATAACTTCCAGTCATCAATTTCAATCATCTCGATAATACTCCATGTAACTTACGTGATCTTCTCTTTTTTCCACCCGATTGTCCTCGTAGTTCGCCTCGGCAATGTCAGGTGACACAATCGGTGACAGGGAGGCAGCAAACCACCACAGCAAATCATGAAGACAGATTGGTTGAGTGACGCTTCTTAACAGCCAGTTTAACGCTTGCATTGCGTAAACTCGACAGGCAGCTCGACGTAACGCCTGCTTCATGGCGAGTTGCAAATGCTGCAAGTTGTGTTGCTGAAGAACGAACAGCATCACTGGTCTCATCAGAATTTCTATCTTGTCGGTATTGGTCACTTCTGATTGATTGGTAGATACGATCGCCGATTGGTTCATCGAAGGTACCAGCTTCTGGAGTGCTGCGGACGGGTAGCAGAGAAGGGATGAACCTGCTTCTGTACAAAAAAGAAACGGTTTAAACTTCTTGTTTACATGGCGGAATATTCTTTCAGACTGAGTCGTTCATAAGCTTCAAGTCATTCATTTTCAAATCTTACCGGTGTGAACCAACAAGCAAAAAATTATAGTAGTTCTTCAAGAATCTTGCCGTTTGTGTTTTCTAATTATCAATTACACGTGCACATACTCTAAAAGTAACAACAAAAAATAACTCAAAATGTATTAAGTAAAGTAAGTTCTAAAGTTTGATCCACTGAGTGAAAAATAATTAAAACGGCAAGAACTTTCTACGTTGCCCAATAAATTTCACATACCATTGTTCATCTCGCTGCTGCTGTTGTTCCGCTTCCGCATCATGACGATTCTACCGTCATTGGTATTTCTGGTCCAAGGTGCTCCAGTGGACATCGACACCGATCGATGGAAAGCTCCCCGAGCTTTAGCGCTTTCACTGTCACTGTCGCTCATGGGATGTTCGGATAAAGGCTACACAAAAATCCCCAAGGTTAATTAAAAAATCTAACAGAAAATGAACAGCGATCTTACCCTGCCGTTCGTGGTATTCGACATGCCACTGCTCCCTTCGTAACCATTCTGTCCATTTTGTCGTCTCAGGGTTTCCTCGTAATACCTTTCATCGTGGCTCTGCGAGTGATGCACGCCTAAAGCTTGCAGACACTGAAACGGTCCAGTCGGTGGAAAAGGTCCAGCCGCTTCTGGAGGACTATAGTTTTCAGCGACGGACGACAACGTCTGAGAAGGTCGTCTCTGCTGTTTTGGAATGTTTAACCCAGAAGCGCTGGCCAGGTCCAATAGGAACATGGCATTGTTCTTCATGATGATGTGCGTTTCGTTGCCGCTGGGACTACCAAGCGGCGATACCATTTTGCCGACACCGTTCTTCTTCGCGAGCTTCAGCTTGCGAGCCCTCAGATACTTATCGCGACAGGTGTCGCAGATAAGGTACCAAGAGCTACCACCGACCCCACCGTCCCCGCAATTTCCTGCCCAACCGATGCAGTAATGACCTCCGCTGTTGTAACCCTTTCCTCCTGCATGCCAACCGCAGCCGGGATGCATCTTCTTCATGTGATACGTGACCGGATGCGGAAACATTTGGCCGCACAGTTCGCAAACCGTCTCTCGTTCTATTCCTCCCGAAACTTCTGACCCGTTCGCTCTTCCGACCGGTTTCCATTCTTTCTTCTTTTTGCTACTCTTCTTCTCCCGGTCTTTCGCCTTGTCCTCTCGAATTCGCTTCTCCAGCTGTTTACTCAGTTTCATCGTTTGTATCTGCAACGTCGGGCTGGGCAACACGGATCGTTGTTCTATCGTCTGGAGACAATCCGTGCTAAGCTCCTCCCACAAGAATACCAAGCTCTTCAAAGCTGGCGGTAGCACGGCCACAGTTTGGAATTCCGGTAGAGCACCTAACTTCCCGTTTTCCTGGACTTCTTCCTTAATCGTCGTTTCCTGCTTCTTTCTGTTCCGATTCGCGTTGGCATTCGCGGCCGACCGAGTTAACGTCTCCAGAGTACTCGGCTGAATGTGCAAGTAGTTACCAGCGTTGGTCACCTCGACCGAGTGTCTTTGCCTCGCCTTCTGCTCCTGTTTCTGCTTGTCCGACGATTGTAGCACCGCTTGCCGGGTCACCACCAGCGCGCCTTGTTTCGGTAAGCTGGGATGAAATTTGAGAAAACTCGCACAGGCCATAGCATCGTGCACGATCCCTTCGTGCCAAAGGAACGCCGCGAACACTGCTCTCAGACACTCCGCTACCGAAGGACTATACGCTTCCTTCACTTTGTCTTTGTTCAGATTCAGGGTCCGACTAGGGTTTGGACTCTGGGACGGCGGGGTCGGCGAGATCACTCGCTTCGTTCTGGTTTTCGATATTTTACTATGTTCTCTTCTACTTAGTTTTGTGGCGTGACGCTCCTCTTTTGGTCCTGTCGATCCGATGCTGAAGTGACCCTTCATGGCCGTCGTTGCGCTTTCGGGACTCGTTTGGGTTTGTGCTTGTGACACCTTTCTGGGACTTTCTTGAGAATCCTTGAAATTAATTAAATTGTGTTACTATCGTGCTAACTTGTTAGATCTGTACTGTACATTAGTGTGCACAATATATTTTTTTTCCAAATCAAAGACAAGTTTTAGAAGAATCTTCTATGCTACTTCTTATCCAAGAACCCACAAAGTACTAGGTGTATTTATATTACTCACGTCACGGCCATCTTGCTTCGGCGTGTCTGGTGGACTAGCTATGCTACCCTCTGATCTCATATGTAAAGAACTACAACTTGGGCTTGGAGAAAGATCGCGAGTATTGGCAGTTGTGCTGACAGCACTTGGGGACTGCGAAGGATCCCTCGTTAGACTACTGACCAAGGCACTTGTGTCGCTTTGTGTTGATCCCCGCCGCTGCGACGTGATACTGTCCACCATGCCACCGGATACTTGAAAAAGGAAACAAAGCGCTCGTAGAAACATCGCAAGATTCGTAGAGCAATGAATTTGGGAAACTAACGTCGTTCGATTTCTATATCGCTCGGTGCTACCTCACCTTGCTCCTCAAGATGAACGTAACAAAGGTACAAAATGTTTTGCGTGGCATTCTCTCGCATAGCGCATCGATATCGTGCAAAATAATTTCGTGCCACTTTGTCGTGAACAAACGAAACGATCAAACTAATCGAATCTCGATACTATTCATGATAACGATTCGAAAACGTAGTTGATGTTCGAGTGCAAACTATGTTCGTGTGAAGCTCTAGAGTATTATATTGTGTGTTGTTTTATTCTTACCTAATGGAGAGAGGCCGACACTTCGGGGGGAGCCACATAGCACAGGGCTGCTACTGATACTGTCTCCCCCTCCCATCAAGCTTCTCCCACCTGATAATTTTTGGATCGTTTGTAGAAATCATACATGTGACGTGTAATGATCGTATTATATATTATACTAAGGATCTCTTTTATCCGTGTACTCGGTTGTGCACTAATTCCATTGCTCTACCTCGAATGTACGGGTAACGTGAAACGTGTGTTTGTAACAGTTAGATGTACGTGCAACAATTCGCTCGATTATTTTACGAGTTAAGTGTCCATATTTCTTCTCGCTTGCATGCACCCGATTCGTGTGGTGTTCGTACAGTAACAAAATGGGAACAAAATCTACGGTGCTATAACATCTTCCAAGAACAATGTATAAATCGACAGAGCTTCAGAATGTGGTACGAGTATCGAACAACACAAACACTATGCACTATTATATATAGAAAATATATATCGTTAAACTGTACAGACTGAGGATTATTGTCGAGTAGGAAAGGAGCGAGTACCTGGTGCATGAGCAGCAGGAGGGAAGAGGCAATTACCAGAACCAACTGGCTGTCGACTGGACCCAGCTAAGATCAACATCACTATTTTGTTATAACTAATCCGACAAGATTTTTAAAAATATATAGATATATATATATATGTATACATATGTTTATAACCTAAGACAGACATTCGGAAAGGTGTGACTTATTCAAACTTAATGATTCGTTCTAAACAATCCGTTTGGACGGAGCAAAAGACAACGATTCTGGGACATTATTTACACATGATCTTACAAGTATCGACATCGGGTCTCTCAGCTTCTGAAACGGTTCCCTCCTCAGACCAGTTACGGTGCCAAAAGTGTGAAGTAAGACACACACATGAATGTATGAGATTAACAATGAGGTCAGAGACAAGAAAAAACAAAATATAAAGATCTGTCATAGAGCAGAGCAACTAAAAGATATCTCTGTCCGAGTGATTTGTGAGCAGTGTATACGTACCAGGTATCGGAACCGGGCTAGAGGGCGGGCTGTGAAATCTTGGTGACCCACCTTGGGGATTCTTCGGCGACGAGCTTCTCGACAATCTTCTGGGTGTCTCTGGTGGCGTGGGACCGTTACCGTTCGCTCGACTTTCGCCCACCACTTTCACCAGCTCCTTCACAGACACCCCTACGAACTCCGAAAAGTCCCTGCAGATACCAAAACTATATGACGAAACTTAATCCAAACTGTGAACGTACTTCCGCTCATTCTTTTTCACTCACCTGCCAGGGGAGCTCTTTTTCTCCCCGTGACACTTGTCGTCCCCGCGCAGCCATTTCTGCAACACGCTGAACTTCCCGCCACCACCTTCGCGCTCCCTTTCCTTCACCATTCGTTCCTTCGAATGAGGTTTCGTGAATTTCGGAGAAACGTCTGTTTTCTCCGGTGTGAATTTATCGCTACCTGGAATTAAAGGAGACAAACACTTTAATAGAATCATTTGGGAATTCGACATCTTCAAACTTTGTAATTTTAGAGTTTATCTTAAACTAAGAAAACTGACAAATTGTTGTAAACACTATTATAATACCTGGTGAATCGTGTTGACTGTACGACCCGAAAATGAACGGATTCGTATTGCTGCCTTCGCCAAACTCAGTCGTGCCGGGTGTATAATTCTGCGCAGTGAAATTGAAGCCTTCGTTACTCGCCGAAGGCACAAAGAAATCGAAACCTTTGTGATTAGGTGACTCGGACGGATCAGCGATGATCGGTTTCTTCTCCACCGGATCGTTTTCGAGGTCCTGCTCGATTTTCATGTACGTGACACCATGTTTGTTAATGGCAAGACACCATGCTTCGCTCGTGGCCATTCGACCCTTGTCGAAGCAATACTTGGCCATCGATTCGTCGTCGATTTGCACCCAGACTCCTTCGTTATTCACGAACTAATGGAACAGGCGTTTGACAATCATTCTATCTGTATTTAATTATTTCTAAAGTGTACTTAACATTGGAACTTACGTATTCTTGAATGGTCACCGAGTTGCCCTGAGCCAGCATTCCCACCGATGCCGCCTTCAAACTTGGCCTACTTCTGATATTGTGACCGGATGCACCGCACTTCACTACGACCATGCTCCTACTGCCGTCGAAGGTAACAGTTTTCCTTTTACTGAAACGGGAAACTCGATTAAGAAATCAATGTACAACCAGCGGAACACGAAAACTACTTTGACCACGTACTCGTCAACCACTTCGGGCCTCTTTCGCAAGATGGGCTCCTTGATAACTTGGTCCAGAATCGATTTCGGTTCTTCGACCGGAAGTAACAAGGTTTTGCCAAAGTGCTGATTATATTGCAGACACCAAGCTTCTAGGTGGTAGCTGCTACAGTATTCCTTGATCGTCTCCGCGTTTAATAGCAACCATACGCCGTCGTCGTTATGTATCTATAAAGACGCAACGATGCTTTCATTCAGGAAGGAGACGCTTCTCGAGAAGGAAGAAGTAATTCGAAGGAACCGCAATTACCTCGTCTATGAACGCTATAGTGTCATTAACCGAGACGACTCCAATTTGCTCGCTTTGAAGAGACGGATGAGCCCTGATCCTTAAACCGGCGCTATTCTTCGCTACGAATTTTCTCAGTCTCGGCTGATGCTGCGGCTTCTTGACGATATTTCGCGTCGGCGGCGGTTGCATACCCTGCGGAGATTCCTTCACTTCCACTTTGTAATTCTAAGAACAAAATCCACCATTAACAAGGACCCGGTTGTAATATATTCTCGTACATTATTCTCGTATTTCTTTAACATCTTCTGAAATAAATATATAATAAATTGAATAAATAACAAGAATTACATATACTTACATCCTCCATGTTATAGCCATCCACGGTGATCATGAGAGAGTACCATCCAACGGACGATGGAGTCCACGTAGCGCTATAACTTCCATCGCCGTTAGGTCTAACCAGCATACTCTCGCTCGATCTTTTTATAGTCGGTGACATAAACCTCAGCTCCTCGAATGAATAATTTTGATAAGCCTTCATGATAGTGATCGCATAGAAGCAAGTCTTGTTGTTGATCGTGACTTCGTACGGCACGTCTAATGGAGGTTGTGGATGACCTCCGAAGCTCATTGGATCTGGCTGCGATACTCGTCGGATCTTTCTTCCTTGATCTGCATCTGCTAGGTCTTTTTTCTCGATGGGAACTGCCTTTACCTCGACCTAGACAAGAGTCATGGAAGAGTCATGAAGAGTCATGGAGGAATTTAATGATGAAGCTTCTGGATTAAGCTGGCTGATAGTTGCCTAAGTTGTGCAACAAAAGGTACTAAGGATATCAAGAATTAGAGTACAATATTAGAATGTAGGTACATGATTAATACAGCTAACATCAAAGTATAAAAGACATGTAGCCTAATATCAAATAGAGCTTGCCTAATATCAAGGTATCGAAAGAGTTATACCTTTAAGTTGGGTGCGTGCACAACGTCCCCGTACTGGTCCCTGGTGAGTACAATAACTATAGCTGGCCATCCACACTTTATTTCGTCCTTCGAGTAAAATGCCTCGCATTTCGATGGGTCCACGAAGCTGTCCGGTTGCAGCCATCTTGCTAGACGCCCACCGCTGGTTCCAGCCGAGCACGATACGAAATCTCGAAGAAAGTGTCGTTCGTTCAAGTGGCAACTGTGAAGAAGAAAAAGGTTGCATGAAAAACCTACTCGCTAAAGATCGAAAATAACGAAGCATATTTTTGGTGGGACAAGTATCTTTCATAAAATATGGTAAATTCTTCCCTATTAAATTGTATACGGTAACCGGAGTCAACGACCAGCGCGACACGAAGTTGAATCGCGAGTACTGTTGCGGTTGAAGAAGCGGTTTCAAACGAGGCCACGATCATCGCAGGTAGCCTTCTCGTTACAACGAGTTTTCGAGCCGCGATGCCCCTAATTGGTGCTCCGTTTCACGGATCTCGTCTGGGTAGATCACAACCAGAGGACGATGCTCTTCTGTCAGCCAGACAATCGCTGCTTCCCCCAACCGAGTCATCGGACTCATCCCTAATAAGGCGCAATCACGTCGTAATTCCGTTCTCCGCTCGTACACGGTACTACGTGTTCTCTACCTATACGCGATTATTGCTTCGCTGATTTTGTTGTCCAACCCGGTTGGCAAGAACCACTTCTTCGAAACCCTTGGACGTGACTACCTTCGAAGAAACACGCGCGACCAAACCGGTATCCGCTCGCCTGCGTATATTTAATCGACATTCGCTCGTGAAAGAAACTCTTTACGCAATGCTCCACTTAATATGTTTCATTTATTTATAGCTAGACAAATCTACTGTTATGATAAATGTTCAATTTGCATTGGAAAGGTCTCTCGAATGTTGCTGAGGTTAGATCTGATGACATTTTGTTGTAGCGTGAAAATTAGAACTCTGAATATTGAGATACGGGTTCTTAATTGTGTATTTAATAAACTGCTATTGGAGCTACTAGTTTACTGTAGCTATACCGAGACAGATATGAACACGTGTCTCGAGTGTAAATTTTGAAATATTTGCAAGGTTATATTTAGATGAAATATTAGCATGTTACGTAATAGTGAAGGAACCATTTGGTGAAGGAATACGAGGTTACATAATAGTGAAGAAATCAGATATATTGAGGAACCAAAATGAGATATCAAATGCTAAAGAATCATATTACCGAATGTCGAAGTAGAGTTAGAAAGTAGTAATAAAGACACTACCTGGTAGAATATCAAGCTACCAAATACCAAGATACTGAATATCTACTGATAATGTCAAAGTACTAAAATCACATCACCGAACCTATCCACAGTACTGTCACCAAAGTACCTTCATAAAAAAACTACCAAGACATCAAGTAGCAATCACACCCCTAATTTTGCCAGTAGCAGGTAGATTTCCTGAAAACCGTATCGAATATAGTTTCGAGTCTTCATCCAGAAACGTCGATACCAATTGGTAGACACCGGTACCAAGAGTATCCTTGACGCGAGGTTTCGTTTTACCGATCACGTTGGTAACACGAGCCAAGGGAGGAGGATCGATGGAAAGAACGTGAAACTCAATCGAACTAGAAGAAGATTCGTCCGTAAATTGGTCGGCTAGGTTGAAGGGCTGACCCGGCGATGTGACGTATGGTCAGCACGTGGTCATTTCGGAAATGGCCACTTCCCGGTTGGCGTCAGGTGTTTCCTGGTTCGGGAAAAGCGTTATGAATGAACGGACGTTCTCGCATATGTGTCGCAGACGGGATCCGAAGTTCCACCGACACGCGCAATTTCTCATGGGAAATTAAATGGTCAGGCATCCGCTCGTAAAGCGAACACAGCCGACCATGGTGTACAGAGTTTTAGGGAAACCCTGTGCTCCGCCGTGAAACACGAGGCTACCGACAGCCGTGTCTCGTTTTTACGACGCTTTTGCTCGTTACTCGCTGACTTTCAACTTTTCTGCGAAACGGCTATAAAACAATGCATTTCGGTGGCTTTACGGTCTTCTGTTACGCGCGCTTTTTTTAAACTTTCATTGGGTAATTGTGGTATACATCCGAGTGAAATATCGAGCGATCGGTTATCTTTCATGGACTTCAAATTATTTTTACGGATCTTTTAGTATCGGTTTTCAAAGTGGTATTGCTAAATTTAATTTATTAAGGAATATTAGTTTCATTTGATAAATGGTTCTATTCCCTGCGAGCGATAGATTCCATTATCAAATGAAATATAAGCCATGGAATATCCGGGGAATTATGTTACATATGCATTGTTTGTAGACAAACAAGCTTATGGTACAGTGGTTACACTCGAAAATACGTTCCAATTGTGGTTAAGTTATGTCTCGGTTCTTCACGTTTTAATAATACGTATCTATCTAAAATTTTCAAAAAAGTCTATAATAAACTAACGTTCTGAAGGTCAATCAAGGTGAAGATTATTGTAAATTGTTTCCCCAAGAATATACAATTACATCAGAATGATACAAACATCGGTCATATTAAATAGATACAAGTTATTCCACAAAGCGGCGTAAAAATGTTGAAACAGATACCAGTCTACGCAAAATCGACACCTGGGAAGTCTCAAATGATTATTCCAATCCCGCTGAAAATAAGAAAACCGCAGAAGGCAACAGATCTTCCGAACGAGGAAGAAGACCGCAAAAGCGACAAAGGATACGAGGCGACCGTGATCCCGGCTTCAACAGGTGATCGCCGTTCCACGATGGAAGAGTAACCCGTTTCGAAACCGCACGTTACGTAAAGGCAACACGAGGACATTCGTGATCCGCGATGGACAGTTTGGTCCGCTAACTTGGTCAAGGTCAGAGCCCTTCGCAAAGTGCGGCGACCCTGAGGACCCGCTCGAAAAACCGGTGTATCTGCGAAGAAGCCTCACGATCTAAACAGATCGAACCCGAAAGCGACGGCGAGCAAGAGTTCGCCCCTCCGACCTGGCTTTTATCTTTTAAAAGGCTGAAGAAGAGGGAGAGTAGGCGAGAGCCGTGGCAAAGGCTCGGCAAAGAACATGGTTGTTGGTGGGGAGGAGACACCGATCGTGCATGCCACCGACCACAGTTTGAAAGCAACCTCCGTCATGATCGCGTCAGCTGGCTTCTAGTTGCCCCACCTCTTCGGATACGCGTGTTTGGACTTCTTCGTGGCTGACTGCTCGATCCAGTGGCCGCTTCTGTCGATTACCGAGTTTATGAGCGAACAGATAGTCGAGGGACAGATGTAACCAGATTCAGCGAGGAGGATCGAACAGTCAGGTCGATGAAAGTGCGCGCCAGGTACGAGTAACGGTGTGTCGTGAACGATGTGAAGACCGAGCAAGATCGAAGACGATCTTGATCGTCGAACCTGACCTTCCAGGAGGATCCAAGATGAACGCGAGAAGAAGAGTGTTCAGTGGCCTGCACGGGCTAAAGTGTGATCGTGCGATCGTATGGTCGGTGTTTCTGTGGTGTCTACTGTTTCTGCCTGGTGGGGTCGAGAGTGCACCGCCCGGGATATGCGCGATGGACGGGTGCAACTGCACCGTCAAGGCACACCGTTGGATTAACGTCAAGTGCGTCTTCTCCAGAGATCAGGTGAATGAAACAGAAGTACCATCCGTGACTAACACACGATAACTCCATTTTCTATTCCGACCGGGAGGATCCACCCGTTCGAACGTCCTGTCGCCTCGATGATAACGATATACCGAAACGTGCGACGCAAATGTGCCACCGATGACTAACACTCGAGATGATACATAACCGACCCTGTAGGATCGCATGATCTAAAAATGGAGTCCTTTTCGCCGCGCAACGAACTGCTAGTTTACTTCTCGCAGAAAGGTGCATTCCGCAGATTCGAGAACAAAGGATGTTCTCGGAACATGAACGTTCTGCAAACTAGACCTTCGATCATCGCTAACATCCTCTTCGCTTTCGGACTCGAAAGAAACGAGTCTTCGAATGCTTTTTCTAGTTTTTATATGTAGTCTAGGTCCACAGTTGTACTTGTTCACACGCTCGCTGTGAACGGCGTGTAGATTTGCTCGATTAACAGAATAAGTACTGCAGATTCTAGTATTGCCACTGATGGATTTGTAGGACAAGAGGTGGCAAGTTTGATATTACGTTTATGGGAATCTTAGGTGATACTATGCGTGGCGATATAACGTCAGAAATTCTACGTGTGACATTATAGTACAATATAGTACTATAGAGATATTATATATTATGACACGTGGGAAATTTTACGCATGGTGATACAACACGTGGCAGCGTTAGAAATTTTACCCATCATAGCGTAAGAAATTTTGGATATGTAGTAGATATGTAACACGTGGGGATACAACGCGTGAGAAATTCCACGCGTGGCAATACAACGCGTAAAAAATTTTGCGTATCAGAGGTTCAAAGCGCAAGAAATTCCGCGCGTGGAAATGCATGGTAAACACTACACGTGACAAATACTACGTGTGGCAAATACAATGCGTGACAAATACTACGCGTGGTAAATACAATGCGTGAGAAATTGCACGCGTGAGAATTGCACAGCAGAAATTTAACGTGGAAATGCAACGCATGGTCAAATACTATGAGCGTTAGAACTCGTGATACCATGATGATGTGAGAAATTTTACGCATCAGAAAATTCCTATCACACATGAGAAATTTTGTGGGTAGTAAATAGAACATGTGACAAGTACAGCACATCGGAAGTACAATACTTGAAATTTCAACGTGTAATAAATACAATACTGGCCAAGTAGAGTACGCAGGAAGTAGAACGTTAGACAAGTATGAGTTTAACCCCTTGCCGTATGATTAATTTGTCAGGTGCGTCAGAAGTAACTATTAACCGTAACAATATTAAAATCAATAAAAAAAATTAAAATATTGTGACTATCCTGTATTCAGCAGTCTTTGACTATGCAAATTATAATTGGACTTAAACTTCAAATTGAAACGTATTTAATAGTAAAGAGGTATCACATTTGAACTGTAAGTCACGAGTCAAAGTACTGTAAGGGGTTAAATATCTGGCGATATAACAGGGAGGTATAAGTGTCCAAATAGCGGCAAAGTGTTTATTGGTCAGCATCGAAGGCATTTCGCCAGCCCACCAATCCCAATGGGTGAAAGTTTCCGGAACAAGGGATCCTATTCCCCTTATTGTTAGAATTAGCATATAAATCATTGGTCCGTGAATATGGCGGGAATCACACAGCAGCGTGCACACAGCAGACGCGGTCTACACCTTGGTACAGACATCTTCTATGAACACGTTTCGCCGCATTATCCCCGAGTTCCACTTGCCATTCCTGTTATCAGCCAAGCTTGGCTGGATGCAGTCCAACCAACAACGTACAGGAAACTTTCGCGTGAAACGAAATCGAGTTAGATCGAACGTGCTAACCCGTACAATAAATTGGTATTGTTGTTGGAAACGCGATATTTTGCACGGGCGATCGTAAACATCGGAAATCGAGTTACATATCGGGAAATGGGCAACAACGGGTCTTTGGAACTCGGTTAATATCCAGGCGCATTATGGAACTCGATCGAAACGTGCCGCGATGTTAATAGTCCGTAACGGATCATGCGCTAATAGCGCGTCGCGAAATCGACGATCGTCTCTGATTTCTGAGGTCGATATCGGGTTAAGTATCGATGCTACGCTCGACGACTGCAAACTGTACTGCTCTTTATTCGCCGTCGTTATTCCAATCTGTGCCTGGATACGCAAGGATAACAAGTTCTGCGGCAATTGGGAAATTCCGTTCGCGGCCTCGTTGGCATTTGTCGAACAATTTTCAGCCGACAATTTCTACCGAAAAATCAACGAAACATTCTCTTCGGCCTACAAAATCGAAACGAATTTCGTTCCTTTCATTTTACCTTCATTCAACATTCATTCTATCCGTTCGTTTGTTCGGAGTAACTCGGTTAGAAATGTACATAAGCTTCGTAAATCGTGTACTACTTTTGATGAGGTACATGATGAGATACCACTCTTGTTTATCATTAGGAATTATTACATTTTAATATGATCGAAATGAATTTTAAACGCCTGTAGCTTCAGATAACCATCATCTTAGACATCTAGAAAACTCAAAACAAAAAGTCTACAAATTCCCACTAAAACTACTACAAAACTAAATAGAAAAGTATCGGTATTCAAGTAAACGTGTAAAACTCAAATCCCTCCAAGCGAATTGTCTTCGACAACGAACGATTGAAACGTCACGTTGCCTGTTTCCCCGTGTTATCGTTGAAGAATTTATCCAAGAATAGTTGCTGTGCGAACCAGCCTCGGTGCCTACCACGTTTCATATCATTGAAAGCAATTTCTGTCGATCCGACAAACGCCTGACGCGACAGTCGTAGGCGTGACACGCATTGCTTCGTATACCGGGTGTCTCTAATCACCGATGAATAGGTAAACGTCTGGTTAATGCCCCTTTTTTATTCCCCGCGGGGATACATTCAGGTTCATTGACACCACGAGTGAGATATACTTCCTAATCGAATCAGATCCACGTACTCACTTATCATTCCGACGTTAATTCTATTTACAGGCTGCAGTTGCGCACGGTAGATGTGCTTTCGTTAAAACGTGGGCTTTGGAGGTTTGATGATTGTTGGAGACATGGGATGGGTGACGTCATTGTGGTAGAATTTTTGCGATTTGAATGTTGGGATTAGGTGGGTCAAAGGAAGGAAGTATGCGTGAAGGGGATTCTCGAATTTTTATGAATTAGGATATGGAGATTGCAAGGAAGATGGGTTCAGAAACCTTGATGGATCACAAGCTGAGTGTAGACAAGCTATGTGGGATTTTAGAGCTTTTGAAATGTAGCAATTAGGATTTTAGGATCTTAGAACTTGAGAAGACTTTAATAGCAAACTTGAGATCTTGAAATTTTGAAATCTTGAAACCCTAAAACTTCGAAACCTTGAAACCTTCATATCTTGAAACTCTGAAACCTTGAAACCTCAAACCTAATCTAGTAACCTCAGTCTTCGTTATCTTGTAAGTAAAAGATCTGATCTAGCACCGATTTATTAAAAATAAATGAATAAAAAAAATAACAATTTCCAAAAGTGGGTCTCAGTTCATAAAACCTCAAGAATCTCTTAGATATTCCCTGTTTCAGTGATCTCAGGGTTTAATCTCTTTAACAAGGATCTTTATTTCATGATGTATTTTTAATTCAAAACGAACGAGAAATTGTATACGCAACGACTGTATTAATCCACTAAACGCGTATACTTACAATTCAATGTATGCGCATATCCAATATATTCACGGACAATGAAATTTGAACTTTTACTAATAAATGCACATTTACTAATAAATACTCGTTTTACGCTTTTATGGTATTCTTTCTGAACTGGAATAACTTTTCATTTATTCAACAGAGAAGTTAATCTCTCCGTGGACGAGACATCTAGCATAAAAAATTGATTACCGTCTTTACCTTCGTAGGTCTATAAGCTCTTGACATCCGTTTAGTGAAATAATGAAGTCTTTATCGCTGGAAAACCGGTGATAAGATGAATATACGTTTTGATAAAATAATTATCGAACCATTAAAGTATATCGATTGTTTACTATAACTCGTTAAAATGTAAGGTCAAGTGAGCGTCACTACTTTATCTGCACTTTAATCGGTTATGAATCACTCTGTATACCCTGTGTCTTTATTACAGCTATTTACTATAGTACTATTACTCATATGTAGTTGATACCACGACTTGATGATTAGGAAACTTGCAAATTTCAAACTTATTCAAACATCTAAAAGTGTCAAAATTTTTAAATGTAAGAATTACAAGTTCACATATTTCATTTCCTAAGAAAAGCAAGTATAACTCCTTCATTCAAAGACAATCTTAAGTGTGCATACTCAACATACAGAAAATAAAATATATTAAACACACACGTACCGCGTATGAAGTCAAATACACACACGCTGCATATGAAGTTAAACATACAAATTCAAGACAAAGTTCGTGTAATGAACAAGACAAACTTCCCAGTATATTCTCAGAGCAAATTAAATTGCTAGAAGATACGACTGTTTGCGGAGATATCTGCAGTTTAGTCATTGTGTACATGATGACCTAACACGTACTTGACCATGTACTGATGTCAACCCTCTACTTGGCGCTTGAGGCTGAGGTGTTCAGAAGAGCTCTCCCATTGGTCAGAAAGGAAAAATGGACGCTTCGTACATATTTTCGTTGGTATTGGCTCGCACAATTAAATAAAAAATAATGCAGTCAACAAACGTTTCAAAAACGAGATAGTGCAAATGATGCAGTTGTTATTGCCATTGTACCTATTTACCGAAATGTAACGTTGGAAGTAACGGTAGAATAGGTAGTTTTTACTTTTGATCCGCCAGCTCATGGGTTTTCATCGCTACATGACTTCTTCCTTTTGCGAGAACCGCGTATAATCCTAGTCTTCCATAACTAAAGTTCCGTATCAAGTTTTCGTTATGGTAAAAGATTGTATTTAATCAAAACCTGGAAGTAACGTTATAGCTCTTGCTTCGTGTCATGTGCCAACTCATAGGTTGTCATCGATA